TTAGCTTGTTTTAAGATCTGCCTGCCTGGGCAAATACCTGTTACCTCAAATTAGTGCTGGAGGTACTGTGGGTGGGAAAGGTGCCTGGCAGCTCTGGGTAGACCATCCATACAAAATAGCAGATAGCTCGTTAAGCTTTAATGGTCTGCTTATACACAGATCTGATTATATTTAGTCCTAATTTCACAAAGACTTTGGATATTAAATGCTACATAAAGTTAATAGGATATAAAGACAGGATTAGATCATCTTTAAGATATATTTTCAAAAGCATTCGGAGAAGAGTAAGACAGAAAGGCAAGGGTCTCAGCAGTGTGGTCTATCTAGACATTTTTCCACAATGAGTGCAGGAAACAAAAACTCTTTAGTAAGTGACAATGCAGTTCTTAGGGGAAAAAACAATGGCAAGACAACTCAGTCCTTAGTGGTATGGACCAAACCATATAAATTGGATGGTTCAGAGACAAGCTTCAGCTTTCCCTCAGAAGTTAGTACTACTTGGGGCCTTTGAAAATGAGTGGTGTTTTTTTTCTTTTTCTTTTTTTTTTTTTTCTGAGTGAAAATTTGAGTATTTTCCTTATAAAGGCTCAAGCCTTTGTAGAGTATTGCTCACCTCAATATTTGATGTGTCCACATGACAGTGGATTCCATCAGTTTAATTCCATTCTTACCTCTCACTTTTGAACCCAGACTAAGTTGCAATATAGCCTACTCACTGGATAGTTTTATGGATTGGTGATTGAGTTTCTATCGCAATTGATTGGTATGAACCAAATCCTTATATCATTATTATTATGTGGAACCGTGTTATACAGACAGAGTGGAGCTTGGCAAAAGTTATATTTCAAGAGGATGGGGCAAGTAGGGAGGGGAAATAAATCAGAGATTTAATAGTGGCCATAAGAATATTTCTGATTGAAATGTGATACCCTTAAATCTCACATTTGTGATGCAGAGGATTTAGGGCTGTCACCAGCCCCAAGATTGTTTTGGAACAATCACAGAATGGCTCGGGTTGAAAGGGCTCTTACCGGTCTTCTAGTTCCACCCCACCCCTGCCATGGGCAGGGACATCTCCCACTAGACCAGGTTGCTCAAAGCCCCATCCAGCTTGGCCTTGAGCACTTCCAGGGACGGGGCAGCCACAGCTTCTCTGTGCAGCCTGTACCAGTGCCTCACCACCCACTAGGTGAAGAATTTCTTCCTAACCTCTGATCAGTAAAAAGTCACTCTTCATCTTTTCTATAAGCCCTCTTTAAGTACTGAAAGGCTGCAGCGAGGTCTGTCTGGAGTCTTCTCTTCTACTGGCCTCATGTCCTGTGACAGTAGAATTTCCTCTGGATAGGTGGAAAGGGGACAGAGCTGGCAACCTAAAATAAAGCAGGACGTGAAAACAGACCACTTTCTCTCCCAGTTCTCTAGATGTCTAACTTGAGTTTGTTAAAGGCTACTGCAGCTCCATGCTTGCTCCAAAATCACCCTTGTGTAGATTAGGCCCAGTTAAGGTACAGTCCTGAACCACTAAACTTCAACTTCTCTGCTAGTTTGGTTTATTTTGGAGAGTCAGCTCAACCCATGAGACTGACATTGCCCATCACATACAATTTGTGCGATTTTAAATAACTTTGGGATCTTTTGCTTCTGTTAGCCAGTTATAGATTGCTTTTAATATATCTGAGTCATTTCAAGGAATAAATGTTTATATGTTTTCACCGCAGAGAAAGCTGCAATTTTTACTTATTTATTTTGATGAGGAAAGGGATCATTTGTCAATTAGGCTAATATAAAATGTATTGAAAACAATGAACATTAATTTTACCACTACCTTCTTTAGTTGAATATAGTAGTATAAGTTGAGTTAATGCAGGAAAAGCTGGAGGATCTAATTATCATCCTATACTTTATGATACCTATGAGACAGCTAAGTGCATTTTAAACCAAAATGAAGGCAGCTAGCTAGAAATCCAGATGTTCTTCTGTGTGAAGAGAGTTTGGCTGACTACTGATATCAAAGGAGCATGTTTGTGTGGTTGGAATATCTCATGTAGGGAACAGAGACAGAACTTGAAAATGGAGAAGGAATATTTTATGCAACTTGAACATACGCAAGTAGTATTCTTCCAAGGCAAATTTCTGAGACACGATAAATGGAGGAGTTCTGACGCTGTGAGAGATGTAACCAACTCAGTTCTCCTACATTTAAGGAAGCAGAATTTGATACATCCTTGTAAAGCAGTATTTTTGTACCAGAGCTGTGATTCAAACATCAGTCTCGGCTTCTGACTGATATAAACCACAAGACTCTTAATTTCAGATTTGAGTACACAGGAGTTATATATGTACATAGAATTAACTTTGGAGAAGTGAATTGCTTGCTCTTCTCAGTGTTTTACTCTATGATAATTACTGTGGGATTTTCTTAAGTCCCATCTTGTCAGACTGGTACAACTCTACCTCCTCTTCAGTCTTCTGAAGCTTTGCCGCTGTGACAGAAGTCACTGACAGCCTAGAAAGATGCTTGGCTGGTTCTTTTAAAACGCTTCAGTTATCTGGACCTGCTGATTTTTAAAATGTCAGACTTCAGAAGCTGCTAGCTAACATTTTCCTGACTTAATACAGTGTTTCATCACTTCCTCAGACATACAGCTTTGTCTCTGAAGTACAAAGCAGAAATATTTATTGAACACCTATCCATTATGAATTACAGTTAAACATAATGTTGCTAGCATATTTGAACAGAATGCTGTTGTCATTTGGGTTCATTTTACACCTAAACACTTATAAGCTCTTCTGTTTATAACAGTGTGGTTGCTTTTTAAATTGGAAATAGCCAGTAACTACTTCTAAAACATGCCTTCCAAATAAAAAGTGTTGTTTCTACATTATGGCTTGTGGAGGAGTAAGGAAAAGAACTTTTCAGAAGTTTAGAGGTAGGGCTTTTAGAGAGGAGGAGGTGGTTTGGCATGTAAAACTGAGACATCTGGAAGCATAAGAGGCAGAGGGTAAACATGTCTGTGGTTCATATTTGTTGTGTATCATGTTTCTTGGCATGGCTTGGAGTACAGTACAAATCAAAGCTGTTTGCAATTTTGTAGAAATAAATGGGGAGCAAACACTTTCTGCTCAAGATATATATTTGTTGGGTGATCATTTGATATCTTTACACTGAATTTATCCACAACCCATCATTTTTAGTTCCTCTGCACAAAGAATGGCCTGGTCAATGCTCAGCTGCATTGGTTTCAGGACCGGATCTCAAATAAGCATGTTATGTTGTCAGCCTTTTAAGACTGTGCCCCTGCAGTTCTGGGATGCAGTATTTTGAAGGATGATTAGATATGTGTCAATCGTGTCAATGTGTTCTTTTTTTTTTTTTTTTTTTTTTTTCCCTTCTTCCAGTTCCCCCGACAAGTGTAGCATTCTTTCATTAAAAACATGTCATAAGGACTATTACTGCTTCTAAGAACTCAGGCTGTATGATGCATGATTTCTGAGTTGGCAGATGGCTTACATGTTAGATTTGCACTGGCTGTATTATGTAGCTGAGAAAGTGCTGCAATACAGAGAATATTAATAATAAACCTTGTCTAATAATTAGATTAGTGGTTCTGAAGTGGGGGCTAAGATTTGTACAGGGTTCATTTACACTTGTGATACTTTCTACACTGTTGAAGGACATATCAATACTGTCACATTTTCATATTTTCTAATAAACAGCAATTGATACAGCCTGGTTACCAAACTGAACAAAGGATGGTGAATTATGTGCATTTATGATTTTTTCCCCCCTTTATAACTTAGGTGCTGTAGCTGGTGCTGATGCAGTAAACAAATGATTGTGAATTTTGTTCCATTTTTCATTTATTACTCCCTTTCCCACCCCTTTGTTAGCATGACCTTATCTGCTCTGTCTTGGAACAAATAAGCAATGAATGATTTTAGTATCTTTGGTCATGCAGTCTCACCTTTTCTCTAAATTTTGCATAAAATGTTTATAAAAACATGATATATCTCATGTAGATTCTTTTGGGGCTTACGTGCAGCGAAATGTGAGGTGAAAAGGTTTTAGTACATTTTCATTCATCAACTAGCCAGCACAGTGCAGTGATGGCAGTGGGACCTTAATTGCACTGACTGTAGTTGCTTTCTTTGGGCCTGGGTCAAACTTGTGATTGCAGAATTGTAACACTGGGTCACATAATGAACAATGTAAACTGTTGCAGATGGCTGTGGTTTCTAGCAGAGTTTATTAGTATGAATGGTGCATTCTCAAAACAAGACAGTAGGTATGTCGTGGTTGCAGGGTGTTTCATGCTCACTGAATATGGAAAGTCATGCCCACTGTGCCAGACGCATAAGAAGGTTACTAAAGGATAGTATTGCAAACATTAGCTATTTAGCCTCACTCTGGGCTTTAGGAGTATCTACATATTTGAAACATTTGAAGCTGAGTTTCTGAATGCGTCTACAGTAATTTAATTAAATATTTCAGCATGGAACTACTTTATTAAGCACTTGAGCACAAGCTTAAAATTAGGTATTTGCTGGATTAAAGTTATTAGTGGAAAATAAGACTAATTTTTTCACTAAATAATGGTGACATAATTAAAAATATTATATGCAATATAATATGCAATATACATATATAAAAATATGATTGGACTACAAAGTTGAGAAGGTTTTCTAAAACTAGAACTTCTTTAGCTACTCAATATTCAAGGCCTTCATTGTAACAAAGACATTGGAGCATATTTTGAACTGAGTTCTTTTGGCAGTCCAGCATCCTTCTTTTCTACAGAGCTTTATATTTAACTAGCCATTCAAAAGGTAAAATCACCCTGTAACAGTTAATGCTAATCTGTACTAATGGATCCTTAATAAAATGCTAATACCTTGACCTTACAAACAAACAAAATAGTCTGATTTACTCAATGACAATATATAAAAGAATCAACGTCCTTTGATTTTTCTCTCTTAAAATATCTTGTTCCCCCCTGCAGCCTTCAGAAATGTGCCCTGGCCACTGGTGCTGTAAGACATTGAGGATGACAGTTACACTGCTACGTCCTGTCGCTTGTACCTTCAGTTCACTGCCAAAGGTGTTTCATGCTGTGGTATGGGTAAGTCTGAAAACTGAGTTATATTTTTGTCTGTGAACAACTTATAAGTTATTTGACTCTTCTGGATTTTTTTCATCTGAATATGCAGATCCAGGTGATAAGGGGCACAATGAAACCTTCACTTGCTTTGAAAAGTTTTATAACATCTTTGTTCATAACGTCTTTGGAGAAATGTTATTTAAGGCTTAATTTTGCAATGTTTTGCAATATTTTTAATTTTAAGCACAGGAGATGATCATGTGATTTCTTGAAAAGCAGAAACGCAAGTCCCTTGGGGTTGTACCAATCCTAAATGCTTTCCAAACTTGTATTTTCCACGGTTGGTGGTTTTGAAACCTTGAGACTTTCAAATTAGCTTTTAATGAGCTAGCTATATGTACTAAAAGACCGATCTCTTAACTCAGAGGCTCTCCCAGGATGCTGCACTGAATGACGTGACCTTCTGCACTGCAGAAGCGACAATTCTGACACCATAGAATTTGCTGGTTGTTTTTTAAGTATATGGAGATTATTCTAAAATTAAATAGCTGAAAAAGGTTGTCTCATATCAGTCAAAAAGATAGATGTCCACCATCATTAACTGTTTCATTCCCTCATTCATTCATACTTTGTATGTATGCATATTTGTATATATTCATGTACTACAAATATAAAAGTGGGAAACAAAAATTCCAGCTTGTCTTCTGAGCTGGATTTTTTTGTGTTTATCCTATCTTAAAAACAAACAAACAACAACAAATCAAAACAACCTGCATGCTTCCTGTGTGCACGCACAAAAAACGCCAACCATGTGATTCTCTGAGAATATTTTTTTTTATATAGCTCCGCTATAGCTGTGTACTGTCCTACATGGGTCCTGATTACCTTGCTTTTCTGTGTGAGTGATGTAGATCAAAGGCCGTATCTTAGCTCTGAAGGTTGTGTGCAACAGATGCTGTTACAATGTTAAAGCAGTAATTTATCACTGTTGTGTGTTCTCTGCATTACAAAGAAAGTAATTTCACTTCTGAACTGTATTAATTGATTGTTTACATTCTTTGCATGCTTCTTGGCCATTCCCATTTATCGTATGGAGAGCAGAGCCTGAGTAGCTAAATTTCAGGTTATTCTGCTTAGAAAATACAGCCAACAAGTAGTGTTGTCTTTGACTAACAGCTTTCCACCACTTGATCTGTGTTTTTACTTTTTTTTTTTTTCTCCTGTGAGAGCTATCATCACATACTGTTTAAAAAAAAGGCAAAACAGAAAAAAAACACTTTAACACCTGTTCTGAAGTCCATATTTGAGCTCTCTAAGGGAAGAAATATTATGTGTATCCTATGTTTTCATATCTTACTGTGTTTCTCCATCACAATCCAACTAAAGTAAATGATTCAAGTTTTCCCTTTAGGATTATACAATTTTTGCTCCAAAATATGCTTACATTTAAATTCGCAAGTTGCATTTTTTTTTTTGTTTTGTTTCAGCAATGGAAAATATTTCTCTTCATGGCTCCTTTCAAGGAAAGCTTGTGAATGTTCATTGGTTCCTAAAGACCTGATTTCCATTCAGGCTTCATTGAAGCTGTCTTCTAAATTATTACAATGGGCAATTTTATGAACTTGGTATAATATATTTGTAGTTTGTTAGAAAACCTGGTGTTTACAGGAAGAGACAAGTATGACTTTAACAGTTTGTTCTGCCATCATTGAATTGCAAGAGCTTTGTTTCAGGGTGATTTCAGGGTGGTGATATTGGCAGTTACCGATGGATGAAAAGACAAAATAGGAAGTTGCAGAGTGATAAACCTGGCAGTTGGTTTATTTATCTGTAAACAAAATGAATTCCAGCCAAACATGGTATTACCTTGCAGCAGCCTGCCTTCCTCTTCACACCTTGTGCATACTAATTATTCTATCTGGACATTTAGTTATTCTAGTTATTACAGATATATCAGTGAGCGATGATTAGATATGGCTCAGTAGCTCTAAAAAGATTTAAGCAGTTGCTTGATTCCAGAAAAAGAGGCAAAATAAAATGTTTGGAAATACTGGGATATGTGTGATAAACATGTATTATTAGCTCTATGTAATCCATTCTGGATGTCCTTTCAAGATACTGTGATGTTTGAGGATAGTTTACACAAGGTGAAATAGGGCATAAGTATGCAAGAGAGCTCCTGATAGGTATTTCTGTTGGTAGTCTTAGCTTAATTTTCATAGGTTGTGTGTTCAAGGGGTTAATGTTCAGGAACTGTGTTCTGTGAACTCTCACTCTGGATTGTTGTACACCTCTGTCTGCTTATTATTCTCCTTATAAGTAAACTAACTTGGATATATTTCAGATAGTCCTCTGTTTTATTTGTACTTTTAAGGTGTCTTCAAAAATACTTCTTTTGTTTACCAATTGTGTAACAGTGTGAGGACTGTGACAGCAGTTGGATTAATTCCCTGATCCTGACCTACTGTGCTACACGGAGGTAGGCTTCCATGCTACCTTGGCTTTGACTGGGGTAAGGAGAAAGTACTTAGAAGGCACTTTCAAGATTACCACTAGTGCAAAGTTTCTAAATAGTGTCTTGTAATGCCCAATGTTCAACAGTGTGTCATCTTCTCTGGGCCATTCACAAAAGGTGAAATGATAGTGTGTTCAAATAGGTTTAAGAAATAACCAAAGTGCTAAAGAGGATTTAGAATTCAAATGAAACTTCTGTAAATGGCAAATTTAGCACTCAGAAAAAATGGATGCAAATCATGTGGGTTATATGGTACCTGGTAGATTACTCGTCCTTTTTGCCTTCTTTCAAACGTGAGCTTACAATTAGGCGGCAAGGGTGAAGAAAAATCACCATATGCCATGGACCAGAGAGCACACAGAAGTTCTTTGCAGGGAATTAAGCAGGTAGAAGCTGAGGATGGCCTTCAGTTTGTGCCGAGGATTAATTCTGCTGGTTGGATAGCAGTGAGGAAACCTGAACTTTGTATATTTGCTTTCATGAGAGAGTTTTGCATCAGTTTGTTTACAGGATGATTTTAGGCTTCACTGAATGATGTAAGGTAGAACTGATATGAGGGCTAGATTCAGTCTGAAGGTGCAAGTACATGTAGCTGTTGTAATAACAAAGTCATTAAGGCAGAGGCCAAAATATATTTTCATATAAAGATGAGATAAAAGCTTTTTGAATACACAGCTGCATCAGTGACACCTCTGTTTTAATCCATACGATGTGTCCTTAACATGAAATCCTATTTTTTGCATAATAACAATACTGTGCTTGCCAGTGATTGGTATTATAAAATGTGCAGATAAATGCTGTTATTATGGAAATCCTATTAGGAAGTCCCTATGTACTGTGCATATAGCACAGATTTATTAACATACTCTTCTGTAGTTACTTTCTTGAAAACTGTTTTACGTCCTATGAAATATTGTGCAATAATGCCATTAATAAACGTATCTAATTGCAGTATATAACTGTGAAAGCCTGAATGGCTTGAAATAGTTTTGAAGAGAAGTGGGATTATTTCAGTGGGATGTATTGAACAACATATATTGTATGTCCCTAATTTTTTGTACTACTTTACGTTAAGAGAGAGAACATTAAGTATATAGTCAGGCAGTTAATGAAAAGAGCAAGTCTTTTTATAAAGAGCTGTCAGTAGATGGCAATGTGACTATTTTATACAGACTTTTTATTCCATATAAAGCTGAAGACTTGTAATCATCTGCATTTGCTGCTTAAATTACTATAATTTTTTTAAAAAGCTCTAAGAGCCCTTTAAAACTATACTTTAAATAATTGATAGTTACAAATGGAAATCTTAGCCCAGAATCTCCAAAAGTGATCAAAGTTGTTTTAATTTTCTAATGGTCAGGGCTGAATAAAAATAATGTCACATAATGTGCCATCAGTAAACAGGAGATTACTGTGCTTATGCCTCATGTTGCTACAGATTCTGTAAACCCATGTTTTATTGATAGCTAGACACTTCGGCCATAACTCATCCAAAAGTGTGGTGCTTATAATGAGCACCAGAAGGAATAACAAAAATAAACATGTTCTTGTGCTGTCAACAATACATCCAGTGTAAGGCTTACCAGCATTTCTTTTTTCCTCTCTTCCCTCTTAGTGAATCCAACCAGGGAGATATAAAGTTTTGGAACATAAAGTTCATCATCTGGCATTAGATTAGATACTACTTTCATATCAAGTATGAACAACTACAATACAAACGTGTGTGTTCAGTTGCTGGTTGCTGTGGCTGTTAATATAGTATCTTAGAGCAGTATGGAGAAACATAATATGTTAGGTGGATTGCAAATGCCTTTGAAAAAATGTGGTAGTGTATTCCTGTTTAGACCCATTGGTTGTAAATGACTTGAAAAGCCCCAGTTGCTCTGAAGTATTGGGCCCATACTGGTGTTTATAAAACACCTCAGAAGGTTGATGTCCACTTACTGAAAATCTTATAAATCTGTCTGCAAATACCTAAGTCATGTATAGAAAACTTTACCTTTGGTCACTGCCTTCAGTAGGACTTGATTTAGGAACAATCCATCTTCATTACAAAGTTCTCATTTATAAACTGTGGTGCGGGGCAGCAGCCTGTCTTTCTGTTCACAGCATGCACATCCCTGAGCCAAGAGGCTGTTTGTTGAATGTAATCAGTCTGTAATGGGTCTCTACCACTCTGTGCCTGTATTCTCAAACATATGTTGGAGGCTTAGAAAGATGCAGAATTAATTTTATGTGCTATGCCCATTCAGGTACGTTGCTGTAGTGGCTCTGGTGAATGCCTAGGTCCCTCAGGAAGTTACAAAAAAACCTGGCTACCAAGCTGTCCATATTTTCTGTTAGGTTATCTAAGCCTATATGTAAATGAGACCTCTGTTTTCACTCGAATTACCTCTACTGTACTTGTACTGCTCTAAATACTACTCCCTGGGTCTCATGCCCAGCTTGACCTCTGCTTTTGAAATGAGAAGAGGTGGAACTGCTCACGGTCGGTACCTGGGCCTGG